TTTTTTTTGTTTTAGTATTTTGAAGTTGACCAATTGTTACTATAAGCAATTAATGATTATAGATGATCTGCACCGTAAAAATTTGTTATCATCAATTAAAATATGCTCTCCCAAAATTAATTGGTGACACTAGTAAAAGTCAAAACTCAAACTTGATCTGAGTAATTTTTATGAGTTTTATTCTATCTATAGATATAAAAAATAATAATGTGGTGGAACAAAAGTACAATACAATTTTTCTAACAAAGGTAGTTGGTTAGCAGTTTTTGTGACATTTTTCCTACCTATCATTATAACATTCACTCATTGTGCTGATATCCCTGACCCTGTTACAGAAAAGGAGTTACATGAATTGGTCACTAAATTTCAAATACACCATTGTAATCAAATGTGTGGAGGACCAAATGGAGAGCCATGCTCCAAAGGATTCCCTCAAACTCTTTTTTTGATCTGAAGGTAAAAATAAAAATTTTGCAGATTTTCGATACAATACTCTTCACATATAAATTGTCGATCTTCTTTTATTAAATGTGTGTAACACCGATCTATCCATAAAAAGATTTTTAACTATGTTGTGTGGCGCTGAGCAAAATTTCGTAACACCAATGAAATTATTCCGTGGCGTTATGTTCATATGATTAATATGATGATGATGATGTCTAGTTTTGTTGTGCAATTTAATAAAAGCAATAGAAGGAAAATCAAATCAAATTTTGGAAAATTCGATTTTCATAAAAGATACATGATGTCCAATGTACTTGATAATGGATCAGAAAAATATTCTAATTGGAGTAAACAAGAACTGATAGCAAAATTATTAACTTTAGAAAAACAACAATTATTACTACTACAGAAGGAGGAGGAGAAGCAAGAAAAGCAGAATGAAATGTACACAACTAGTAGTAATAATAACAACAACAATAATAATAATGATAATGATAATGATAATACTATTACTACTATTGAAACAATGGCAACAACAAAAACAATAACTAAAGAAATAACAGAAACAAATAATTTAAAAAAAATTTTTTTGACAAAAAGAAAAAGACTATTTGACATGTCAAAATATGCTAAAAGACGAATAGCATTTAAACTAGCGTATTTTGGTTGGAATTATTATGGGTTTGAAACTCAAAATGATGAAAGTAGGTTGCCTACAATTGAAGGACGATTATTTCAAGCAATGATAAATTCTAAATTAATAAGTGATCCATCTGATTGTAGGTTTTCAAAATGTGGTAGAACTGATAAAGGTGTTAGTGCTTTTGGACAAGTGATTGCATTAAACATCAGATCTAATCTACCAAAGAACTCGCCATTGGTTATCAAAGAAGATGATAATAATGATGTTGATAATGATGTTGTTGATGGTGGTGATGATGGTAATGAAGGTGGCAAACTTGGCACGATAACAACAACATCAACTACAAAAGGCACTGTAAATATAGAGAAAATGAATAAAAAAATAAAAAAGGAAAATCAAGAATTACCTTATTTGCAAATATTAAATCGATTATTACCAAATGACATTAGAATAATAGCTTGGGCACCAGTAAATAAAAATTTTGATGCAAGGTTTAATTGTAAATCTAGAAAATATAAATACTATTTTGTACAAGAAAATTTAGATATAGAATTGATGCGAGAAGCAGCCAATAAGTTTCTTGGTACTCATGATTTTCGTAATTTTTGTAAGATTGATGGATCAAAACAAATCAAGAATTTTGAAAGGACAGTGTTGGAAGTAGGTATTTACCCAATGAACAATAAAAACAACAGTGATATTAATAGTGGTAGTGATAATGGTGAAGTTTATGTAAAATTTTTTGAGTTTAATTTAAAAGGGACAGCTTTTTTGTGGCATCAGGTTCGTTGTATAATGTCAATTTTATTTTTAGTAGGTAAAAGACTAGAAAAGCCATCTGTAATTGATGACCTTTTAGATGTAAAGAAATTTCCAGCTAAGCCGGTCTATGATATTGCTAATGAACTTCCATTGGTTCTGTATAATTGTGAATTTGATGATAAAGATGTGGAGTGGAGATATAGTAAAGATGATGATTATGATGATGACATAAACAGTAATAATAATAATGACAAAGAGCTAGCATTACATGCGCCTACAACTCTTTATAAACAAATTTATGAACAATGGTATATTCATGCTACAAAAGCCAATATCCATTCAAATTTATTAAATAATCTTGGTGAAATCAAATTAAACCAATTATTATTACTTAATAATAATAATGATGATGGTGATGGTGATGATGATGATGACAATAAAATCAATTTAAAAAGTTATATTAATTCAAATATAAATGATTGTTCCTCCAATGTTATCCTTGGTGGTGGAAAAGAGTCAAGATCACAACGTAATTATGTGAAAATTATTAATAGAAAAACTTGTGATTCAGTTGAAAGTAAAAATGCAAATTTCAAGAAAAATTAGAAAAAATAAATAAATAATTTAATAATTTATATAATATATGTTTTTTTAATAATAATTTTCTCACATCACAATTCTACATGAGGTTCATTAGTTGCATCATTATCTTTCTTAAAACTTGATAAAATGTTTTTTCTAATTGTAAAATCATCTAATTTACCACCTGACATTTTACCGGTTTTAATTATATTATTCAACCTATCAATTTCATTATCTACATAATTTGGTTTCTCATTAATTTTTTCCATAACTTTAATATAATATTTTGAATATCTGAGAAAAATATATATATATATATATATATATAAGTAAGTTATAGATATATTTTGTATATAAATCATAGAATATATAACATTTAGATAAATAAATATTTGAAAGCATATACCTGCTGTTTATTTTGTTTTCAATTGACTTAGCATCAATAATGATTTGAGACTTTTCATCAGTAGAAGCACTTGTGAATTTCTTTGCTAATTCATCTAATTCCGGTATTTTTCCAGCCTAATATACATGACAATAACAGTTAAAAAAAAATCAATATAATTTATTAAATTATAATATTAACATATAAAATATTTATATTTACCTCTTCAGATAAACCACCGCCAATTAAACGATGAGTTCCACAATGTTTATTCAAAAATTTTACAAAATCTTCTTCTGTCCTATCACCTTGATAATCAATCGGAGTTTTGTCATCACCTTTTTGAAAGAATTTTATTGTAGGGAAACCTTTGACATCATATCTCTCAGCAATTGCTTTATATGAAGGCGCCTCAAGGTTTGCAACAATACACTAAACAAAAAAAAATTTTGGTAGATTTATTATAATAATATTAATGATATGCCTGATGCTCATTGATGAAAAATCAATAATCAGTTACACATTAAATCTTTACATTTGATTCCTGTTCAAAATCCAATGCAACCTTTTCGTAAATTGGTGCTATTGATGATAATAACAATATTAGTAACGACTTATTTATATATATTAATAATATTTTCAAAAATGATGATAAACTTTTTAATCACCTAAATTTTTACAATGTCCACACCAAGTTGCATAAAATTCAACCTAACATAAATGAAAAAATGAAAATGTCAAGATTGTAATAAAAATTTTGAATTAATGAATAAATACATATGTATAGGTATATAAGTAACATACCAACACATTCTTATTGGGATCTAAAGCTATATCATCAAAATTATGAGATGTGAGCTCAGTTACTGCAGTGACAGGTTTCTTTGCTTTATATCCTATTATTTTTAAAAATAAATAAATCAAATGATTCGCCAATATAGAATCCGTCCATCTATCTATAATCACTTATTTTATACGTATACTTGTATGATAAATAGAATACAAACCACTCTTTTCTTCAACAAAAGTAACTAAACTATCCAGTTCTCTACTACTCTCATAATCATCTGGTTTATCTGATGAACCTTTTTGAAACCATTTAAGTGTTGGAAATCCCTCAACTCCAAATCGAGTTCCAAGATCACGATGTTTATCTAAATAGCATACACAGACATATATGATTTATATTTAATTAATTTTCTTTCTACTAATCCTTGTTACTTTTTTTTGAAAAAAAATTATAAATATATTATTTACCTGCATCAACTTTTGCTATGATTACGTGATCTTTGGCATATGAGAAAGCGTCAGCAAGTTGTTCATAAATCTGTTTTTTTAAAAATTGATTAATTATTATAATAAACGATATATTTATTATCATTAAAAGAAAATTTAAGTTTTAACTGTACAGGTGCTAATTTTTTACAATGACCACACCAAGGTGCATAAAATTCAACGAGAGCAGGCGCATCTTTACCAATCAACAGATCAAAATTATCAGGCGTTAACTCTACTACATTACTAGCCTTCACCGCATTCAAAAAAAATAAAATTAAGAAAATTATTAGGGATGAAGATGCCGTTTTTTTCATTTTGAATTTATTAAATAGAGAAAAAGTTTTTTTTTTTACAAAATTAATTAATTACTAAAAAATGTGCATAAATTTATTCCCCAATAATAGTTGAATCAAAAATTAAATTAAAAATTAATACAAAGATAATTATGAACCATTTAAACGTTAGTATTAGCAGATGACAGGCTCATTGTAACCATGAAAACTAGCTGACAACCGAATGAAGGTCATTTAATCCATTAGTTCATTATGTCAGCCCTCAACGTTGTTATAAATTTTATTCGCCTCCCCAAATTTTTTATTGCTTGGGATAATATTATGATTGATTACTGAATCAATGAATGATATTGCGAGAAATAAATTTTAATTTTGTGGAAAACCACAAATAATAATCTCGAATTTCCCCTCCAACTTTTCATACTCCTTTGTTTGATCGCTCAAGTTCTTTTATACATATTTTTGTAAAGTCGATAAAATCATTAGCATAATTTTGACCGCATAGAAAATTTTTAAAAATAAATGATTGTCAGAGCGCTTGACCCAAAGCCATTTGTGAGTATTAGAACCTTTACATTCTAAGGCAGCAACTCCTTTTCCTTCATTAAGTAATTTGTAGATTTTCACCACCATTTTAATAAAGAGTACAATTCAATCTTTTTATCAAACAATTGCTTGAAATCCTTCCATAGATTTTCAATCTCCTCTGAATATTTTTTATTGATAGAGGTTGTTTTTTCTTGGCTCTACTTTGATTTATTAATTTTTGTAAGTTTTATAGTGAAAAAAGTTCACTGTTGAAAGTAAGAATTTTTAAATGTTATTAATGACTATTGAAGATTTGCAATTTGTTCGGTTTGTTTTGTTTTACCTGGCTGAGAATATGTGAAGGTGAATTGGGGATTATTCATCTTGTTTTGATTTTTTTTCTAGTCCACAATCATTAATTATAGAAACAAAGTTAAAGCATTCATTAGTATTAAATCGTGACTAAATTTTAAACCCCGAATCCTTTTTTCGTATTAAAAATTAAAGTGGCTTTTTCAATTAAGAGTTGATGCGAGCTCGAAAAAGGTTTGGTTTTAATCATTATTATTATAATTAATGAATTCGAATAGATAAATTATATTTATAAAAAATTTAATATCACCAATATATGGGACAGACAAAGTGAACACTAAGCTTACAAAAAAAGCGAGGAGAAAAGGTTGCTCTTTATGTTTTTAAATTGGCCAATACAGAAACTATTCATAAATACTTGGACAAAATAAATAACTTGTGAATTTATCAGCAAAATCTTTTGTTCAAGAAGCAAATAGTAATAGTAATAGGTCAAAAGCGAATAAAAGAAAACTAACTTAATTTAGGTTAATTATGCCAAAGGATTACCCCACGCTTTAGAGTCAATTCGCTGCCATTAAGTCAAAATGATGCAAGTAAAATTGCTTTAAAGGCGAATAATATATAAAAGCTCGCAAAGAAAACTTATAAATATTTTTCCAAGATCTTTTTTTCTTGTATATCCTAATCTCTTCTTTGTTTAATGAGTTGTTCCAAAATAGTTTAAGTTTTTCTTTTGCAGAGTATAAATTCAATTCCCACACACTCATTGACTACATTTCTTGCATTAATATTGATAACGTGATACTAATACATGATAAAATCATCGATTAGGGACCAATAATGTAATTTTCCGCCAAAAATATCCAGCATATTTTAATGGCGGGTTGGCATATTTAGAGAGATTATATTGAGATTGTAAAAATAAAAATAAAATTTTAATGATAAAATATAAAATATTAACACACTTTTTTGAATCAAATACTCATTAAATATATATATAGATTATATACAAATGTACACACATGTATATATTCACACACATTTTTCCGAACCATGATGGTGTTGGTGCTGACAGTAATAATGATGATGATGATGATGATGATGATAATTTTATGCAAGCAATATTATCAACATATTTATCCAAGACTTTCAATATTATCTTTCAATTCCATGTTCCGGTGCACCTAGCGAAAGAGAGTCTAGTATGGCCGGACTTACATTTAACGAGCTCCCTTCAGATTTAAATCCACAAACAATTGATAGTATTCTTGTAAGCATTTTTTTTAAATAAATTGTGGTTTAATAAAAACGGGTTGGGTTCGGGTTTGGATTGAAATCTTTTGTGTACGGGTTGAGATTTTTATAATTTTTCGTGCACAAGTCGGATTCGTTATAAATTTATACGGGTTGGGTTGGGTAATCATTCAATTATGATGACCCGTGCAGGCCTCTAACGTGAATTATTTTTAATTAAATAAATTTTAATTATAGATATTATCTTTATTATTTATTTATTTATTTATTTATTTAATAATAATAATATTTATATGTACGGATTTATTAATTTATTATTTACCATTGCTTGCGGATTTTGTACTTTACTAATTAATATTAAGGTTATTATTTTAAAACCGTTTTTATGATTGTGTGATAATTTTTAATTATTGATTCAAACCAATGTAAATAATGGTCATGTTAATATGTCAAATGACTTTTATTAAAGATTAGAACCCATTCGATGTTCCCGCAAGCAAATTTTCCTGCGATATAATAAAGATTTATTTATTTGATATTGTTGGAGGGATAAAAAATAGAAAATAATCAATAACGGGAAGTTCATTTTTCTGTTGTTACAAGGTTTACACAAAATAAGCTACAAACTTATATTATCTTTAGATGATTTGAAACTGGTAAAATTTCCAAGAAAGTCAAGGAATAAGAATTTATTGGGTAAACTTATTTTAACGTGATCTCGAAAGTTTGCAGGAAAATTTGCCTACGAGATCATGCAAATATTAACATTAATACAGTCCCCGGCGAAAGTAATGGCGCGAATATTCGAATTACTTATTCAGGCATAATACCATAAAACATTCATTTATAATGTTTATTTGTCATTGAGTCGCGTATATAGATAGTAACCATAAAAGTAAATAAAAAAAATAATGATCGTCATCAGTGTTTTTTGTTTACTTTGCCTTGTAAAATGTCATCAAACCCTATTA